CCTGGGAGACACCGACCAGAGCACATGGCTGCAGCGAAGAGGGTGTTGCGCTACTTGTGCAGTACGTCGGGCATGGGGCTAGTGCTTGGAGGGCGAGGTCGAGTGGTCCTCACAGGTCACGCTGACGCTTCTTGGGCTGACGACCAGGCTCTGCAGCGGTCGTCACAAGGTTACACCTTCAGCCTTGGCTCCGGCTCTGTTTCGTGGCGGTCTACCCGCTCGTCTTCTGTTCTCGGCTCAAGCTGTGAGGCTGAGATCTACGCGGGGGCCATGGCTGCATAGGAGCTACGCTGGCTCACCTACCTGCTGCCTGACCTAGGAGAGCCACCTCGTTCTCCTCCAGTTCTGTACGTAGACAACAAGGCCATGCTGGCCTTGTGTCGGGAGCACAGACTGGAGCACAGAACGAAGCACATTGCTCTTCGCTACTTCCTTGCTCGTGAGCTGCAGCAGCGTGGTCAGCTGCGCCTTGCTTACGTGGCCTCTGAGGCCAACACTGCTGATATCTTTACCAAGGCACTTCCGCCTTGTGATCATCAGCGCTTCTGTACGATGCTAGGTTTTGTGCCTACTTGGCCTCACTTGCTCACTTCTTGACCTTGCTTGTATTGTGATCTTTCTATACCTGCACTTGCTTGTTTACCTTTATATATATGATCTTGCATGTGAACTGGCCTTCTGGCCTTGCTCTTGTGCTCGGACTGTCTGGTGACGTTGTGATCCACCCTGAGCTTGCTTTGCTTTGCTTGACTGGTCTTGTGACCTCTTGTTCTCCCCCACTTTGCCTATGGGGGTGTGTCAAACTCTTATACTATAGTCTGTGTAGGCTATAGTGGGGTAGACAATATGGGGTACAACACTTCTAGGTTTTCCTACTTGTACCCACCTGCTTGCTAGTTCATTCATTCCTCATTCTTCACAGCCACAAGGCCAGTTAGAGAGTTCACAAGTGTGTATAGCAAGAGTACAAGCAAAGCAAACAGTAGACTCAAGCCTATACACGACTAGAAACGGTGTCAACAAGGCCTAACTGCACACAACACCTCTGGTGGTCACAAGGCGGAAGTGCCTTGGTGAAGATGTTTGCAGTGTTGGCCTCGGACCAGGGGTTTTTTTATCAGAGTAAATTACTCTGTTTCTCTGAAAATCAGAGTGGTTTTTAGGGGGTCACTCTGACGTGTTTGGGTAGTTTTTTTGGAAGATAAGTTTTCTCTGATTTGTCAGGGTTCTGATTTTAGCTAGTCTGAAAGACCAGTGTATATTTGTGGCGAATGTATTTTTCTCTGTACAGGGTATAGGCATTTCGACCGAGCCCTTGGTGGAAGATGGTTAGGCCCACAATATACAGTTATATAACGTCCGTCAAACACAGATTTGTAAGCGCGTAGCACAATGGTTGTAATTATGGTAGGGTGCAGAAGGCCTGGGCTCAATACTTGACAGGACACTCAGAGTTGGAAAAGTAGTTAAACTAACTGCCCAAAGCATATTTTTCAGAAGTTAAGTTTTCTCTGACAAATTAGAGTAATGCTCATAATTAACCCTGAATTTCAGAGTTCTGGAAATCCGATTAGTGGAAATCCAAAAAAAAGCTTGCCTCGGACTCCACAAACTCGAAGCGAGCCTGTCCACGTCTCTGCAACTCTCGCAGAAGAAAGTACCTGACTTTAATGTGTTTCACTCTGCTCTCCAGTCGCGGCTCTCGACAAAGGAGAATCGACGTCTTGTTGTCAGTGAACAAGGTCGGTGCAGAGCTCGGCCGCTCACCAAGGTCGGCGAGCAAGAAGGTCAACCAAAGCAGCTCCTGTGCCGCCATGGCACCAGCGTAGATCTCAGCCTCAGTTGTAGAGGTTGAGATTGAAGAGGAGCGCGTGGACCGCCACGAAACAGCTCCAGAACCCAAGCTGAAACAGTACCCATGAGTAGACCTATGAGTCTCAGCGTCGTCAGCGTAAGAAGAGTCACAGTGACCAGTAAGTACCACAGGCTGCTGCCCTCTAAGAACTAGCCCCACGCCTGATGTCGTCGCTAGGTACTTCGCCACCCTCATAGCTGCCGTCCAGTGAACAGGACGGTGTCTCCCTGGCGCAACAAAGCGAGCAAGGATGCTGAGTGGGAAGGCGAGGTCTGGGCAAGTGCAAGTCATCAGGTACATGAGGCAGCCCACCAGCTCTGCGTAGGGACCACTAGACTCAAACGGCTCGTCAGGAAAGGGTCCAGTAAGTCTGTGGTCAACAGCAAGAGGTGTGCGCTGTAATGTTGAGTGCTAAAGCTCAAACCGCTGAAGGACCTGTTGCACCATGTGTGACTGTGAGAGTGTAATGGTGCGAGCAGCTCTGTCCCCGGTGATCTGCAGGCCAAGCTAGTGGCGCAGCTCACCAAGGTCAGTGCACGTGTGTCTCTTCTGCAGTTTGGACTTCACGTCTGCCAAGGCAACCCTGTCAGTAGTGGCGAAAACCAGGTCGTCGACGTAGACCAGAACAAAGAACAGTGTGGAGCCACGACGAACGAACAGCGACGGGTCGGCAGAAGTTGGCTGGAACCCAAGGTCAGAGAGGGTAGAACGAAGAGTGTCGTGCCACTCACGAGGAGCCTGACGAAGACTGTAGACAGGTCGCCTCAGCCTCCACTGGGTCCCAGGAGGGAAAGTGCTAGTGAAGGCAGAGGGACGACGCAGCCAGACCTCCTCGTGTAAGCTACCCTGAAGGAAAGCAGTGGAGAAGTCGAGAGGTGTGTAACTCGTAGTCTCTCTGTGCTGCTACGTGCAGTAACGCCCGAAGAGCGGTCATCTTCGTGGTAGGCGCGAAGGTCTGAAAGAAGTCATCTCCTCCGCGCTGATTGAAACCTCTAGCCACGTAGCGCGCCTTGAAGACCGGAGGAGATCCCGGTGGCCGCTTCACCCTGTAGATCCACATGCCATCGACTACGTTCGCTCCAGGGGGGGAACCTCGTCGACGTAGGTGCCTGTGGATCTGTATGAGGCCATCTATGCATCCATGGCAGCTCTCCACTGAGAGGCCCAAGGCCCTGACACTGCCTCAGCGTAAGTGTGAGGAGTCGGTATGTCAAGGGCGTCGGGGTCTCCCTCAGGGGCGAGCTGCATGGCACAAAGATGTGGGGAAGCGGCTGCCAGAAACTCTAGCTCAAACTGCCTGTCCTCTAGGACGTCACAGCCAAGGGCAGACTCACCCCCGATGGCCAGAGGACTGGTAGGAGGAGCAGCCACAAGATCGGTGGCATAGTCAAGGCGGTGAGTGGAGGCAAACTCAGTGACAGCGGCAGTAAGGGCGGAGACAGAGGAGACAGAGGCACGAGGGTTGATAACAAGAGAGGCGAGAACACGAGAGAGAACAAGACGGTACGTGCGGTAGTAGTCAGTGACAGGAGTAGAGAGAGAAGCAGTGAAGGCCGACTCAGGAGGAGACGGAAGGAGAGACGGAGATGAACGAGGCGGACTAGAACGAAAGAGGGCAGTACGAATGTCAGTAACGAGAACAAGAGACAAGGGACGAGCACGAGGGGAGCGACAAGAGGCCCAAGTCTGAGAAGGAGGAGGGGACAACGGAGGCTGAGAACGAGGGAAAACAGCCGGGGAGGGGTCAGGAGGAGGAAGCGGAGGACCCGAGATGGGAGGAGAGGGGGAGGAGGAAGGAGAGCGAGAGGGGAGACCGAGGGCCCGAAGACCAGAGACAGGAGGAGGAGGCGGCGGCTGCTGCTGCTGCTGCGGCGGCTGCTGCTCCTCCTGCTGCTGCAGCGGCTCCAGCGGCTGCGCCTCCTGCTGCTGCGGCGGCTCCAGCTGCGGCTGCTACAGCTGCTCCTGCTGCTGCTGCTGCTACTCCTCAAGCTGCTGCAACTCCCTCTCCTCTCTCTCCAACTCCAGCTGCTCCTCACGGGCACGGCGAACACAAGCCTGGTGCCGGGTCGAGTAGGGGTGGGGGGGAGGAATAGTGTCGGGGGCTGCGGCAGCCCCGGGACCGCCCTCCAAAGCACCTGGCGCACCACCCCCAAAGTCAGCACTACCAACAGCAACACGATCAGGCTCACCAGGACCCGAAGAGGGTGCACCCGCACCCCCAGACGTAGCACCCCAAAAGTCAGCAAGACCAGCACCAGCTCCCGGAAGACAAGAGTCTCCTGCAACCACGGGCTCAGCTCCAACTCCAGCACCCCCAGAGCTAGCACCTATAGGGCCCTCTCCACGAGCACCGGCTCCCGCAGGGACTGTCGCGGGCTGCGAGGAGGACTGCGGGGAAGGAGGCTGCACCTGAGGGGCTACCAAGGGGGGAGGGGTAGCCTGGGACACACCTGACGGGGCGGGACCAGGGGGGGGAAGCTGCACTGGGAGAGCAGGAGGGGGAGCGGAAGTCAGGAAGAGAGGGGGAGGAGGAACCGAGAGACCTTGACTGGGGTACCTGACGTAGTAGGGGGTGGACTCCTCAAAACGGACGTCACAAGAGTCAAAGAACCGGTGAGAGGGAGGGTGGTAAAAGGTGAAGTCAGAGGAGTCCTCAGGGAAACCAAGGAAGACACAGGGAACGGCGCGAGGCGAGAGCTTGTTTGCGGAAGTGTCGCGGACAAGAGCCAAGCAACCCCAGACACGAAACCTCGACGCAACACCAGGGGACCGGGTCCAAAGACTGGTCGGTGAAGCCTCTAGCCGAGAGGCACGTGGCCAGAGGTTCAGCTGGTGAGCAGCGTACCGCGTAGGGCCACAGAAAATGGGGGGCACGGGCGTGAGTCAAGGAGGTGCGGGCGATCTCCATGACCAAGCCTATGCGGTGCTCAGCAACCCCATTCTGCTGTGGGGACTCTAGAAGCGTCCAGGACTGACGAATGCCCTGCTCGCGACAGAATCCAGCGAGAATGCCGGAGCGAAACCCACCCCCACGCTCAGAGTGAAGATAGCTGATACGACGACCACGAGTGCCCTCAGTGGTAAGCGACCACTTGATCAGCGTAGAAGTCTCCTCAGACTTCTTCGCCAGGGGGAACACTGTGGTTTAGCGGGAGTAGTCGTCAACGACCACAAAAAAGAAACGCTCGTGCTCAGGGCCAAGGCGAGGGGCGGGGCCCCAGACGTCCAAGTGGAGCGTCTCAAAAGGCTTGGTGGCCGGACGAAGGGAGGAGGAGTGAGGGGTGGCGCGCAGCCGACCCTCGACGCAGGGACCGCACGGCGGTGCAAGCGAAGGCGGTAGCGACGGCAAGACACGCGGGAGGCCTAAGACAAGACGCTGACGAGACATAGCGCGCAGACGAGGGAGGGACGGGTGCCCCGTCCGGTGGTGCCACAGAACGGTGGGGTGTGCAAGCGACCGGCAGGAGCACGACGCAGCAACTGGTCCAGACACAGCTACCTGGGAGGATGCAGCAACCTGGTGAGACGCACAGACCAGACTGGGGGAAGTAACCGGGGCCGGGGGCAGGATTCGCTGCTGCTGCTGCTGCCGCTGCTGCTGCCGCCGCTGCTGCTGTTGCTGCTGCCCACCAAAGACAGTGTGAAGTGTGTAGAGACCAGAGCCCGGCTTGGCAGTAAAGGTGGCAAGAGGCGAGTAAGTGTCACCGTCAACACAAACCGCCGTCTCACCAGAGGGCTCAATCCACACACCCACGTGCTGACTCACAAGAGGCCTCACGCCCACCAAGTTTCTCGAGAACGAGGGGACGTGGAAGCCAGTCAGAGACCCAGAGGGAACAGCAGGGCAAGGAAGAGTATTAGTGTAGCGAGCAGTGACTGGTCCCGAGGTGGGATCAGCCAGGGCCACAGAGACTGGCGCAGGAAGTGGAGTAAGTGTCGTGTGGTCGCGGAAGAAGCAGTGCGAAGCCCCAGAGTCCAGAGTGAAAGACAGCGAAGCGTCCTCCGAAGTAGCGCCTAGACTAGTGTCTACACAAGTGCCTACACTAGCAACAGGCAACTCAGCAAGACCAGCACCTAAGCTAACAACACTCGAGTAAACAGAGTCAGAAGCAGTAGAGTCAACAACAGCATACATAGCATGAGGAGTTCTTAAGAGATCAAGCAATTGAGAAGCAGACATGCCCCAAAGAGCGGAGCCGTACGTTTGAACAAGAGGTAACCAGTCAGGAGCAGGGCCGCCAACGCCGAAGGCCAAGCGAACCGTGTCAGTGAGCAGAGCAAAGCACTGACCAAGTTGGTGGGTGCGGCCACAAGGCTGGCCTCGGCGAGCACCTGTCAGAACCTGATAGGTGCACGAAGGGTGAACAACACCTCGCTGAGGCTGACGCTGTCCTGGCCCCGAAACCTGCTGCTGCTGCTGGGGCTGCTGCAAGGGGAGGGGCTGCTACTGCTGCTGCTGCTGCTGTCGCTGGGCCAGGTACCACGCCGCTGCCCCACTCGCCACGGCCGGCAGACCAGAAGGTGGCTGACGAGCCCGGGCGTCGCCTCCACCGGCTGCAGTAGCGGAGTCACCGGCCGCTGCACGCGACGCCTCTCCTGGTCTTGCACTCCCGCCGCCACCAGTTGGCACGCCACCCCCACCACCTCCGCCGCCAACGCCTCCACTGCCTCCACCGCCACCGCCACCTGTACCCTGATCGCCCCTCTTGCCACCTCTATCTCGAGACCGCGAAGAAGTCGTAACAGCAGCTGCGGTCACGTCATTAGCAGCAGTGGCGAGAGAGGCTGTAAAGCTGGGCAGCTGAGGGACAGTGCACCCGTGGAACAGTGGAGGGGACACAACACCAGAGGCGGAGGCTACGGAGCGGAGGTTGCTCTCGACGTCCTTGAGCGCAGACTCAAGGACCTCGATAGTGAGCTCACTAGGGTGCTTCAGAAGAAGCGTGTCACGGACTGAGGCAAGGCGGTCAGGGAGGCTAGTGGCGATGAAGTAGATATTAATCGCCATGGGGGGAGGGAGCAGTGCAAGCTGTGCCTCAGTGCAAGCAGGGCGGTAGCTAGAATCAAGCGAGCGGAGGTGAGCAATTAAGTCAGCAGAGCGCTCAAACGAGGCGATGTCAGGGAACATGAATGGTAGGAAGAGTCGGCCAAGAGAGACAGTGGTGGGAGTAGCGTAGCGAGCCTTAATCGCAGTCAGGAACTCACTAGCAGTGCGAACCTGAGTGAAGTGGGCCTCCTCAGACTCAGGGAGGAGGCTGCTAAGAGCAATGCAGGCCGCAGCGTCACGCGACTTCCACGCCGTCAGGTCAGCACGCTGGCGGGTGAAGCGGTCCTTGGCTGCGTCGTTAGGGGCAGTGCCTAAAGGCGTAGGGTCGTTAGGTGCTGGAAGGTCACCAGTAGCGTGCGCCCAAAGGGACTCGCCCGCCTGAACCTGACTCTCTAAGTGGCGACGCGTGCGTAGGAGCTAGACCGGGAACTCGAGCGGTCTACCGTCAGCGTCGAAGCGAAGAACCCTAGGAGTCGCCATAGTGTAAGTAGAGGCGACAAGTCGAGCGGTGGGTGGCACCGGTAGGGACGGTAGGCGGCTAGGGCAAGTCCGTGACGGAAGCAAAACGCGGGTGCAACGGGGCTAGGGGCGGTCCCGCGGCGGACTGAACGTGTAGGCGCAGTGGTGCGAAGGAAGGGCCTAACGAGCTGGCCCGTAGTGAACCTAACGAGGAGGCGCGGCGGCTGGCTGAACGGGCACGCGCGGCGGCTGAAAGGGAGGGCCTACAACGGCTGTCAAAGAGGGCCTGTGGCGGGCCTTAACAGTAGGCGCGGCGGCTGTAAGGGAGGGCCCGCGGCTGCTGTAAGGGAGGGCCCGCGGCGGGCCTAACTAGTAGGCGCGGCGACGGGCGGTACGGGCAGGGGCGGCGACGAAACTAGGGCGCCGCAACGACGAAAAGCGGGGTGCTGCGGCGACGAAACGCGGGGCGCCGCGGCGACGAAACGCGGGGCCCTGCGGCGACAAAATGTGGGCGCTGCGGTGACAAAACGGGGGGCGCCGCGGCGACGAAACGCGGGCGCCGCGGCGACAAAACGCGGGCGTTTAGGGCAGCGGGGGGAGGACGCAACGCGAGCGGGGGAGGGCGTGACGGGACGAGAAGCCGGGGAGAGCGCGACGCGACGGGCAGGAGGGGAGAAGGCGCTACGCTACGCGGAAAGCGGGTCGGCGGAGCGAGCGCTAACGAACGAGCGAGACTGGATCGGGCCGGCGCTAACGAACGAGCAAGACTGGATCGGGCCGGCACTAACGAACGAGCGAGACCGGATCGGGCCGGCGCTAACGAACAAGCGAGACTGGATCGGGCCGGCACTAGGCTCGGGCAAGACGGGTACGACTAGTACGAGAGAGCGAGACAGGCTCGGGCGGAACGAACGAGGACGAGAGGTGCGGGATCCCACAGGATCCTAACCTAGGTGATACCATGTCAAGAACAAAAGTGTTGGTTCATTGATGTGGGTTGGGGTACATATAACAAACCCTAACATCTGTACCCCCTAAGACAAACCTCACTACAGGCTACAACATTTGACACTTCAGCCCATGTTTTGGACTCCAATACGAGCGATTAGCGCGGTTCGACGCTGCCCATTCCTACATTACAAGGAGCTTTGCTTTCAAAATACATAATTTTGAAAAGCGTTACATCTTTTAAAAATATACATATTTAGAAAGCTTGCTTTCTTGCATGTAGTAATTGGCATCGTCTCATTTCAAGTGGGTCTTCTGAGACAGGTGTCGCGATAGTGGTCGTTCTCGCGTCAGTGCCGCTGAGTGTTGCTCTGGCGACGCGGCTCTTGCCGGATCTTGGACGTGTCTGTCAGAACATTATAGCTTATGCTGTTGTGTAGGCTGTAGTGGGGTCTCCCATAGGGGGTACAACCCAATTAGGGTTAGTACTTGTACCCACTTCTTTCATAGTTCATTCATTCTCGTTCGATTATCACATGGTAACAGAGCACATATGCTCCTGGCCTGTGGGCCCTACTACTGCTTCCGCTGCTACTCGATCTGTCACACGCCCCGTGGCGTGCGACCTCGGCGCGCGGCGATTTTCTCTCTGGCGCGCGCCCCGAGGCGCGCGGCCCCGCTACCCCGTCGTGGCGCCCTGGGGAGCCGCGCGCGAACCCTCGCTGCCCCGTCGCGGCCCCAACTAGTCGCGCCGCCCTAGCGGCTGTGTCGCGCCGCCCTCGCGGCCCCGATCAGCCGCCCTAGCGGCCCCGTCACCTACCCCTGCGGCCCCGGCGCCGCCCTTCCCGGCCCCGGCTCCGCCCTTCCCGACCCCGGCGCCACCTTGGCTGGTCCCGTCGCCTACCCCGGCGACCCCGACCCCGCCCTTCCCGACCCGGCCCCGCCTCTACTGGCCCCGTCGCCTACCCCTGCGGCCCCGGCGCTGCCCTTCTCGGCCCCAGCGCCACCTCTGCTGGCCCCGACGCCGCCCTTCCTGGCCCAGGCGCCGCCTTTGATGGCCCCGTCGCCGCTCCACACGGCCCCGCCGCCGTCCCCAAGCGGCCCCGCCGTCACCACCGAGCCGCCGGCGCCGCTGAGCTGCTGCCGAGCCGCCCGAGTCACCCGAGCCGCAGCACCACCTGAGCCGCCCAAGCCGCCGGGTCGCCGAGCCGCCGAGCTGCAATTGGTGCCGAGCCGCCATACCGCCGAGCCGCCCGAGCCGCCCGAGCCGCCGAGTCGCCGAGCCGCAGTTGCCGCCGAGCCGCCCGAGCTGCCGAGCCGCAGTTGCTGCCGAGCCGTCGTGCCGCCGAGCCGCCCGAGCCGCCCGCACCGCCGAGTCGCCGAGTCGCCGAGCCTACTCTTCCCACCACTGGTGAGCCCCTGCCTTGCTAGCGCGCTGCCCGCCGCCTGCTTGCCTGGCTTCCTGCCTTACTGCTGCTACTCCTGCTCCTGCTTCTACTCGCGGAGCCATATGCAGCCCCAGCGACGTCCGCGTGAGTCCCTCACGCCCCAGCAGCTGCGTGAGTGGTACGCTGGTTGGGGTTGTAGGGATGGCGGCGCTGCTACTGCTACCACTACTGCTGCCACTACTACTGGCGGCGGCCAGACGCAGCTCCAGCGACGCCCACGCACGTCTCTCACGGCCCAGCATCTTCGTGAGTGGTACGCTCAGAGTAGAGGGTCTCTCAGTTTTGTTCGCTGCTCTTACGTGATTCGCACTGGTGCTCGGACTGGTCAGCCTTGTGGGACGCCTAGTCTCACACCGTCCCGCTGCTTCGCCCGTCTGAGCGACGCCTGGCGTACCGAATTTGGCGACGAGGCTGAGCTCCCCGACTGGGTGGAGCTGCTTAGGCAGATGGTAGATATATTTGCTCTTGACTATGATGCTATTCTCACTGCCATGTATGCATTGCCTACTAGTGCTGACCGTGCCGGTCACCTGTGCGTACCGCCTGACCCAGGTATAGAGCCTTCTGCTCTAGCTGCTGGTGAGGTTGCTGCTCTGGGTGCTAGTGAGTCTCCTGCTCCAGGTACAGGTGCGGCTGCTGCTCTAGGTGCTAGTGAGTCTGCTTCCTCAGGTGCTGGTGAGTCTGCGCTCTCAGGTACTACGTCGGCTTCAGCCTCCCACACCTTCACACTTGACTCGGGGGCTTCTCACTCCTTCTTTCGAGACCGCACCACACTCACGCCGCTTGGTCGGGCAGTTGCAGTCTCTCTGGCAGACCCCTCCGGGGGTCCTATCCTTGCTCACTTCTCCACTGTCCTCCCGTGTCCGGCGGCCCCCTCTGGCACCCTGTCTAGTCTTTACCTCCCCTCGTTCTCTACGAACTTGGTGAGTGGTGCTGACCTACAGGATGCGGGGGTTCACCAGTTCACTCCTGCGAGCCAGCGGGTGACCCACTGCACGGACGCTCGGACGGGCCGACACTTGGCCACGTTTACACGTCGGCCGGGGTCGAGCCTGTACACACTGACCACTGCGTCCCCTCCAGCCACTGCGTCTGGTCAGGTAGCTGCGTAGGGTCAGGTGTTTGCTGCAGCGTCCAAGTCTCGTCCTGAGTCTGCCCCCTGCTCGTGTCGCCTCCTGTCTCACGAGACTCTCTTCTGGCACCACCGCCTTGGTCACCCCTCCCTGCTTCGTCTCCGAAGCATGGCCTCCCGTGTCCTTGTCTCTGGTCTTCCCCGGTCCCTCCCTCCCCTTCCTCCGGGGCCTGGCCCTACCTGCGTCCCCTGTGTCGAGGGGCGACAGCGGGCTTCCCCTCACTCCTCCCAGTTTCCTCCGACAGAGGCCCCGCTGCAGACGCTTCACATGGACGTGTGGGGCCCGGCCCGCGTCCGTGGACAGGGTCACGAGCGCTAATTCCTGCTGCTGGTTGACGACTACTCGCGTTACACCACAGTCTTCCCCTTGCGCAGCAAGGGTGATGTCACTGAGGTGTTGATCGACTGGATCCGTGCAACTCGTCTCTAGCTCAGGCGGAGCTTCGGCTCGGACTTTCCTATTCTGCGTCTGCACTCTGACAGAGGCGGAGAGTTTTCCTCTGGTCTTCTGCGAGCCTACTGTCGTGCATGAGGCATCCGCCAGACCTTCACGCTTCCGGACTCTCCACAGCAAAATGGGATTGCTGAGCGCCGCATTGGCATGGTCATGGACGTCGCTATTGAACAAGGAATGAAATGACTAAGAATGAAATGAGTACAAATATGGAAACCTAGAAGTGTGTACCCCCTATAGGCTAACCCACTGTAGCCTAAACAACTACAACAATATATAATGTTTGACACACCCCCATAGGCGAAGTGGGGGAGAACTAGGGGTCACAAGACCAGTCAAGTAAAGCAAAGCAAAGCAAAGCAAGCTCAGGGTGGATCACAATGTCACCACACAATCCGAGCACAAGTTCAAGGCCACAAGGCCAGTTCACATGCAGGATTACATATATATATATATATATATATATGGCTAGACAAGCAAGAGCAGGTATATATATATGTAACAGTACAAGAAAGGTCAAGAGGTGAGCAAGTGAGGCAAGACAGACACAAGACCCAGCTGGGTACAGCAGCGCTGATGATCACAGGGCGGAAGTGCCTTGGTGAAAACATCAGCAGTGTTGGCCTCAGAGGCCACGTAC